ATTTTCCTAATTAATGCTGTTCAGTTGCTTTGACACAATCTGTATTTTTAAAAGCGCTATATAAATAAAGGTGACTTGACTGTCAGACTTTCAAAATCCTTCATCACTTGAATTAAGATGATCAAATTTGAACACATCCACCACAAAATCAGATTTAGTACCGCCTTTTACTTTGAGATTGATCTGAAGTTCAATGCAGATTTAAAATCATAAGAAATAGTTTACTGATACTGTTTTTGAAACCAAATCTTTGCATAACTACAGGAAACATTGCATCTAACAATGATTTGAAAAAAAATAGTTAATTAAAAAATAATAATAAATAAAAGCCTATACATCAACTCAAATACGGTTATCTAAAAAGCATGTGTCCTATTGTGTACTATGGAAATAATCGCTTTAGTACATTCGGCAGGCAACTATACAATAGTAATATTAAAATAGCGGGCAAAATCGGCTGGCAGGCCACCGGAATGTCTCGGTTCTTCCAATGGCCAGTCCGCGCCTGATTTCCACAGACACGCAGAATGTGCAGGATTCATATAGGTTTATTGTCTTTTTGCGGCTTAATATTCACAGACACTAGTCCATATCGCGTTTTGATTCAATTATATTGACACGCCCCATCCGGTCGCCAACGGCCGCTGTCGTGTCTGTCGCCGGAAATCGCCAGCTCTCCATTGAAATGAATGGGATTGTGTCGCTTTGCTGTTGCGTGTCGCTTGTAGTGTGAACGGGGCTTTAGGCTATAGGAATTCCGTTTTTATGACTGGATTCTACGAACCAGTCTGTCTTTTTTGCATCACGGAAATTATAGGGCCGTATGTCTCAGCGTAATCAGTGAAATTTGGGAAAGAAATCAATTAAATCTGTATGTGGATGTGTGTAAATATTCAAATGTAATCCCCTTTGTAATCATTAACATTTTCATAAGTAACTGTAATTTAATTACACATTTTTTCTTAGTAACTGTAACTGATTACAGTTACATTTATTTTGTAATTAAATTACGTAAAGCCGTTACATGTTACTAGTTGCTCCCCAACACTGTATATATGGGCGTAAATTTCATCTAACAGTTGGGGGGGACAATAAACATAAAATTTCTCAAGAGCAATTTTTGAAGGGGACACAAATAATCCAGCTAAAATTGTACTTGTAAGGATATGTATACACAGAGGAAAGCCTTACTATTACTGCAGCAGGGAGGGCGTGATAAATTAGCTGTTGTGGTCGCACCGCGACAGAGGTCGTGTCCGTTGTAGACATTACTATCCGTCACAGTGTTGCCAAGTCCGCGGTTTTCCCGTGTGATTGGGCTACTTTATCACTGTTGCCGCGGGTTGTTTTTCATGTCCGCGGATTGAAGCATCCCCAATAAGTTTATTTTAGCCCCCAGAATGCGATTTTTACTGGGGGAACCCCTCGAAACGGTTTTGTTATGAAAACCTGGCAACCCTTTCAGTCAGTTATTATTGCTAATATAGCAACTCATCGAAAAATACATTGGCATCATCTGTATTAAAGAGAATCAAGAGAATAAAAGAGATAATCACTTCATCTGATGTTTAAGTGAATAAAATAGCCTTGACAGCCTTACTTTACTGGAGTTCCACAACTATTGACTTTGTTCTCTCTCACCGGACTCGTGTGTGTGTGTGTGTGTGTAGGTGATGTAAAAGAGGAAAGCAGGCATTTGGACCAAAGCACTGTGCGGCAAGGGAGGGGGAAACTCAAAATGTTTCTAAACTTAAAACACATTTTTGCCCCGTTTGTGTTGTTTTACTACTTACACAATTATTTAAAGTATAAAACATTGTTATTTACAATACACTGTGTGGTTTTTAATCATATTTTTAGGGGGGACAACCCTCATTCCGTCTATGTATGGTTTAAGTATTTGCTATTGACTGTTCAAATGCGGAGTTTTGCGCAGCACAGAGTAACGTGTCGTGTGTGTGAGTGTGTGTGTGTGAGAGTGTGTGTGTGTGTGTGAGGGGGAACAGGGTCACATCACAGGAGAGTGAACTGCCTGTCAGAAATCATAGCACGTCAGCTGTCTTAGACACAGTGATGATGCAGTACACAAGCCGCGGTTGTCACACGACTCTGTTGCCCTTTCGGGCTTGAACTGATGATAAAACTAACTACATTATTAACTGTCTTGATATTTACTTTGAAAGCTGACGCTCGCGATTATGGTAAGGGGCGTTACATTTCCGACGCGTGCTTGTGGTGTTCGGCCAATCACAATGCACTGGGTCAGCTGGCCAATCAGAGCAGACTGCGCTTGTCAAAGGAGGGGGCTTTGTAGAAAACGAAGCATTTGAGAGAGGCGGGGCATAGAGGACCTAAAATTACTCTAGACAAACATTTGTGTGTCTTTTTTTATTGCTGAAGTGTGTTGAAATTTCTTCTTCTGCATTCTACTGTACGGACGTAAATTTACTTTCCCTTCAGCCTGAGGCTTATTCATTTCAATTTTGGTGTGAAAAGGCTTTTATATTTGCCAAAAATATGATTTTTTATTTTAAAAACAAACAAGCAAGTATCATATTTGATACATCAGGCTTCATGGTTCATACTGTATGGTATATAGGATATGTGGAGCTCATACTCAAGGAGGAAAAAAACATTTCCGTTTTATTCAGAGGCCCAAAAAATCAGTTGTCATGATATGTCAAAGCATATCATGCAGTTCAATACATTGATGATTAAGAGATGAACCAATGAATGTTCCTCAAAAGTATGATGTATCATATTTGATACTCACATTTTAACTTGGGAAAAAAATGATGTATGGATAATCAAGTAAACCTAAGTTGCTTCAGTCCAGTAAGAGTTCATCTTGAAATGTTACTAACAATATAATTCTATTCTTATGTTTACTTTATTCAAATGTACAAGTAGATGTAGAACGTTTTTTTTTACAACAGCTTTTTCTGCAAAGTTTTGATATTTTAGAGGCCTTAGAAATTTCCATATCACATATGACACATATGTTTAATGTCAGCACCTGGGTTTTCATGTCAGAGAGAGTCAGATAGTATGAGAACTGGTGTGTGTTTTAAAATCCCCCAGTCCAAAACAGCTAAGCTGTCTGTCAAAAGAACTGCTGTGAAGGCAAAATGCTCAACTTCCTTGTCAGGACACAGATGTACATGTGTGTACCTCCTCAAATCTAAGACCCCCATCTGAGAGAGACTACTTGTTGAACACTTCTGGAAGCAAACTCTGAGAAACAAGGGAATAGTTCAAAAATAGAAATACAAACTGGAATACACGATTTCTGTGGTTCTTGCCATTGCTAAATAGCTATTTTAAGTTTTGAACATATAGAAAAAAGGCCACATTTAAATGGCATTTCAATTCTGATGTTTTTACTTTGTTTGGGTATGTGTGCACAGATTACCGTGGCAACTTTCAGAGCTGCTTCCATTTTGGCGACGGCTACAGAATGGACCAGTCCATCAGTGGTGGCCATCAACCTGCAGAGTCCCACAGCTTCAACACAAACCCACACAACGGCTTCCACATGAGCTGTTCCACCAGCACCCCTTCCACAGGTACACAAATGCCCTCTTAAACTGCAGTCATATTAGTGAAATTTTGGTGAACTTGGGCAGAGCCGATCCTCCCTATACGCAAAATACGCAAGCTGCGTAGGGCCCCCGAAACACCAGGGGGCCCCCTTGCTCTCAAAAATGATTTAATTTTAATTTCGTTTTTGAATTTGGCCGGCGGTTATGAAAACATGAATGATCATTTCTTTTAATGCGGTGCGCTGTTGCCCTTTCTACGTAAAAATCAGTCAAATCATGTAACGTCAAAGTCATACAGTCTCTTGCTCGAGACAAAAAAAAAAAGAGTGGAAAGCATACCGAGCTGCGGAAGAGACACTGTTTCTCAAGTGCTTTCCGCAAGCGCGATTCGAGATGGAGTGAAACACGGACAAATTCGTTTCATTCATTCGTTCATAACCACTCATACCCCACTCCACCGAGCTTGATTCATTTTTTTCCAAAAGCAATTTAAGTTGTGTATTGGCACTAAAAAAAAATCACTGAAATAATGTCTACAGTGTCTATTATGTTTTAAAAAATAAAATAAAATAATGAATCAGCGACAGAACCAATAATTAAGCTGACTTCACAAAGCTTTGTTTCAACTTTTGCCCTGACGGGAAATTGTGAGATTTAAAACTCGCAGAACAACGGTAAATGTGACTACACCTTTACCTACACAAATCCATTTATTATTAATTAATCTCACACTAAAATTAAGTACAACTGATATTGTCAGTTGTCAATTTGGGGCACTGTAGCTTTAGGATAGGACAACATCACCAGTAATAAGCAACATGGTTAGAAACTGATCTGGCTGGTAGTCGTCTTGACAATTTTTTCTTTCCCATATTACCGATCAGTTTGTCTTGTTTCACTGCCCTAGTGTAAGTGTATTTCAAATCTGCAAAAATTGGGCAGTACCCTCAAAGAGACAACCACCTTATCTACCCAACAAGGGGGTACAATAGTAGCATAATTATATGATCCTTTTTTCCATAATGCAAAGGTTTCAGCTTGGTGTCGGACATCATAGGATCAGGTTGCCAGTTCTCACCGGGAACAGAGGAGAGTGTTTTCTTTCAGGTGGGTGGCTTCGATCGCAGCTTGAGCCAAATGTCATCAGTGTACACAGAGACATAGGACCAGCTTACCTTGTCGTCCATCAACACAATTGTCTTCTTTCAGACCAAACACTTTTTAAAATTATTTTCTTTCGTCTATGCAGTTTCAACCTGTCAAGAGTTTACATTTTTTCTCAAAATTCACATTTTTTTAGTTTGATTTCCCTAAAATGCATTCTACGTAAAAATCAGTCAAATCATGTAATGTGAATGTCGTACAGTCTTGCTCGAGACTTAAAAAAAACGAGTTGAAAGCATACCGAGCTGCGGAAGAGACACTGTTTCTCAAGTGCTTTCCGCAAGCGCGATTCGAGATGGAGTGAAACACGGACAAATTCGTTTCATTCATTCGTTCATAACCACTCATACCCCACTCCACCGAGCTTGATTCATTTTTTTCCAAAAGCAATTTAAGTTGTGTATTGGCACTAAAAAAAAATCACTGAAATAATGTCTACAGTGTCTATTATGTTTTAAAAAATAAAATAAAATAATGAATCAGCGACAGAACCAATAATTAAGCTGACTTCACAAAGCTTTGTTTCAACTTTTGCCCTGACGGGAAATTGTGAGATTTAAAACTCGCAGAACAACGGTAAATGTGACTACACCTTTACCTACACAAATCCATTTATTATTAATTAATCTCACACTAAAATTAAGTACAACTGATATTGTCAGTTGTCAATTTGGGGCACTGTAGCTTTAGGATAGGACAACATCACCAGTAATAAGCAACATGGTTAGAAACTGATCTGGCTGGTAGTCGTCTTGACAATTTTTTCTTTCCCATATTACCGATCAGTTTGTCTCGTTTCACTGCCCTAGTGTAAGTGTATTTCAAATCTGCAAAAATTGGGCAGTACCCTCAAAGAGACAACCACCTTATCTACCCAACAAGGGGGTACAATAGTAGCATAATTATATGATCCTTTTTTCCATAATGCAAAGGTTTCAGCTTGGTGTCGGACATCATAGGATCAGGTTGCCAGTTCTCACCGGGAACAGAGGAGAGTGTTTTCTTTCAGGTGGGTGGCTTCGATCGCAGCTTGAGCCAAATGTCATCAGTGTACACAGAGACATAGGACCAGCTTACCTTGTCGTCCATCAACACAATTGTCTTCTTTCAGACCAAACACTTTTTAAAATTATTTTCTTTCGTCTATGCAGTTTCAACCTGTCAAGAGTTTACATTTTTTCTCAAAATTCACATTTTTTTAGTTTGATTTCCCTAAAATGCATGGTTGGATCACTTCATTGGACTGAAATATCTACTTCCTTTACTAGCCGAAAAGCTGCTATTCCATGACAACGAAGGTTAAATAATGAGGGGTTTGTGTTGTGGAGTGTTTATTTGTGGGATGTTATGAAATTGCGTTTTTTTCACAGTATTTTGAAAGATATGTTCAAAGTCTCATGAGATACTCCTTTGTCGTCATCACAGCATCACTAGTCTTAATAAATCCAGCTGGTCAGCACAGATCCAATTGTGACTTTGGAACGGTTTGATAGAAACTTCAGAACCACCACAGCTCATCAGTGATTAGTTCCACATTTCCCTCTCAGAGCTCTTTTTCTGATTTGTTGGCTTTTGTGTTGGATACAATTATTTAGTGTTGCTGTGTTTTGTCAGTGAATGTTTGCAAATGTTTGTATTGCTTTGTTTATCTGGGATGATGACAACCAAATGACAGAGTTCTTTATTTTATAATGGTTGATGGCTTTAATATCTACCACACTTTCAACGTATGTATAAAATGTACAGTTTGTTTAATTTTAATAATTGTCAATCTCTAAATCTCTGAAAATAAATGAGTCTTGAATATTGCAGTCTAATGCTCATCATTGTGCATTTTAGATGTGGTAATTATGTTGACTGTTTAACTAAATAAATATGGTGTTACTCAGACTCAAATATCATTAAATTCCGTTTAAACACTATGAAATATACTGGGGAATCAAATTGCAAGACATTTTGCAAATGATTTGCATGTTCACTTGACTTTTTTAAAGTATATTCGAACTAATCTCAGCCATATAATTTACTGAGCAGGAAAAAACGCTCCGGTTACTAATGTAACCTTGGTTCCCTGAGACAAGGGAACGAGCATTGCGTCGCTGACGCTTATGGGGAAACTCCTGTTTACTCTGATTCTGAAGCCTGCCTTGTTCACTTTCGTGTAACTGCACAAATCAATGGCACTGCAACCCACCAAAAGGGAAGGAGCGTGATTTCGTCAGAATCTTTTGACTGAAGTGACAGTCATCGATTCGAGTGAAGCCTTATAGCGCAGCAGCGTATGCAACACTCGCTCCCTTATCTCAGGGAACCGAGGTTACGTTAGTTCCATTTCGAATGGTCTCACCCGTTGCGTCGCTTATGGGGAACGCATCCAATAGTGCCATGCTATAAGCAAGTGCAGAATGAAGACGCTCTGTGAGCCCAGCCCCAGAGCACCTGTACTGAGGGCTCCTGTAAGCATGAGCCAATAATGAGACCCAAGGCGCTTAGGCTGAGGACTGCATAACATAACCCTCTCCACTTACTCCACTTAAAAAGGGGACCCGTACTGAGGGCTCCTGTAAGCATGAGCCAATAATAAGACCCAATCTGCTTAGGCTGAAGACTACATAACATAACCCTCTCCACTTACAAAGGGGATTAGGTAGAATTAAGTGGACAAGATCCGTGGCTGCAAGGCAGGGACGTTCAAGTTATAAAATCTAGTGAAGGTAGACGGCGATGACCAGCCGGTGGCCATCACCAATAGAAATCCCGCTGGACCAAGCCCAAGAGGAGGCCATTCCTCTGGTGGAGTGGGCCCTCACACCTATAGGACACTGCAAGCCCGCTGAGGCGTAAGCCAGGGCTATAGCATCGACTATCCAGTGAGATACTTCGTAACCGGCAGCCCTTTAAAACAGCCTCCGAAGCATACAAAGAGCTGCTCTGAGTGCCTAAACAGGCCAGAGCATTCAACATACACTATAAGAGCCCGAGCCGGGCAGAGTGGATTAGGACCCTGCTCACCTTCTGAATTGGGGAGTGCTAGGTGGGTGATGACTTGTGCTCTGAATGGAGTGGAAAGCACTTTTAGTACATAGCCGTGTCTTGGGACAGGAAGACAGGAAGCACTGACTGACAGTGCTTGCAGGTCACCCACTCGCTTACTACACTTGATGCTAAAGCCAGAAGGAGGGCACTCTTAAGCGACAGGGGCTGCAAGTCAGCCGACTGGAGCGGCTCAAAGGGAGGACCTCGCAGGGTCCTGAGGACTATAGATAAGTCCCAAGTGGGCACAGTATGAGGGAGAGGCAGATTCAATCTCCAATTCAAACACGTCGCATGATGACGAGTCCTGGTTCCGTGCTGCACACTAGTCAGAAAAGACTGACCATTTAATGTTGTAAAGACGTCTTGTAGACTGAGCTCTAGCCTCTAAAATGGTATTAGTTACACTCAAGGGGAGCTGCAAAGGCTCCCGTCGAGGGGCCAAACATGAAGGCTCCACAGCTCTGGCTAGGGATGCCAAATCATGCCCTTCGCTTGCAATAGCCCTTCCTCAGTGGTATCGGCCTTCCTCAGGTCCTTCCTCCGTGGTATCAGCCAAGGGGCTGCCGATAGCAGCTGGATCAACTCGGGGAACTACATCCGATTCATCCAGAGTGGGGCCACCAAGAGGACTGAGCATCTGACTTCCCTGGCCCGTCTGATGACCTGAGGAAGCAGGGCAAATGGGGGGAAGGCATACAGGCGAGTGCTGGGTCAATCGTGGGCCAGGGCATCTCACTGCTTCGAAAATAAATTGGGCAGTGTAAGTTGTCTTCTGAGGCGAAGAGGTCCACCTCTGCCCTGCCGAAGACAGACCAGATCATTTGAACTGTTTGGGGATGTAGCCTCCATTCTCCTGGAGCCACATTGTCCCTGGACAGCATGTCTGCCCCTTGGTTCAGTCTGCCCAGCACATGAACTGCTCTCAGTGAGCGGAGTTTGCCTTGTGCCCATAAAAGGAGGCATCAAGCCAACATGTGAAGGGAGCGTGACCTGAGACTGCCTTGGTGATTGATAAAGGCTACCACAGTCATGTTGTCTTAACGGACCGGGATGTGGCAAGGAGTTTTTCCAAGGGGCCACAGCTCTGAGGCAGCGGTGGGTTACCCTGAGATGAAAACATGTCCCAGGCACCAAGCGTGAAGTCCCCAGTTTGAAAGATGCCACAAGCCTCTGAATAGTCAGGGAGCGTTCTGGAGTAATCCTTTCCCTGGATCCGGACAGAATCGATAACTGTCCCCAGAAAGACCACTCGCTGGCTGGGAGACAAAAAGCTCTTGGCTAAATTGATTCTCAACCCAAGCCGCTCCAGGTGGCTGAGCTGCAGCGACCTGTGTGCGATGAGTTCCCGTTCTGATCTGGCTAAGCCCAGCCAATCGTCAAGGTAATTCAGAATGTGGATTCCCATCTGTCTCAGTGTGGAAAGAGCTGCGTCTATGCACTTTGTAAAAGTGCATGGGGTCAGAGACAGTCCGAATGGCAGGACTATATACTGATAGGCCACTCCCTCGAATATGAATCCTGATGGGGGGCTATCTGGATTTAAAAGTAAGCGTCTTTCAGATCCACTGATAGAAACCAGTCCTCACGTCATATTTGCACAAGGATGTTTCAAAGACAACATCTTGAATGACCGTCTCATTAGGGAGCATTTCAGATGCCTGAGATCGAGAATGATTCTGAGCCCGCCATCTTTCTTGGGAACAAGGAAGTAACGGCTGTAAAAGCCCGACTCGCTGTTCGCCAGAGGAGCCATTTTCATGGCTAGTTTTGCAAGCAATGTTTGAACTTCGGACCAGAGAACTTGTGCATCGTTGTCCCGTACTGAAATTTGAATGATACCTCTGAAGCGAGACGGCCTGCAAGCAAACTGAAGCAAGTAGCCTCGTTCTATGTTTTTTAAAACCCAACTTGACACATCCGGGATAGCTTTCCAAGTCGGATGGCAAGTGGTTTTAGATTTGTCAGCATACCTGATCTCTGTCAGATTTAGCCAAAGGTGGCGCTGCCTTGCCGATCACCTGCGCAGTGGTCTTAGTAGTGTGCAGAGCCAAGTCAGTCGCTGTAGGCAGCTTGGTTTGGCCTGGAATACTTGGAGCACCACCATCGTGTGAAGTGCTGAGCCAGCCTGGCCAGCCGCTGAATAAGCCATTTGCAAGGGCTGAGGTAGTCTTGCAGGGCTTAGATGGGTGCGCAGCATGGGCTTTCAACCCCAGGGCCAACGGAGGGAGGGCATAGATCAGGGGTGGCGAACTCCTGTCCTGGAGAGCCGCAGTCCTGCAGAGTTCAGCTCCAACCCTAATTAAAACTCACCTGCCTGTAGCTTTGTAGTAAGCCTTCAGACCTTGATTAGCTTGTTCAGGTGTGTTTGATTAGGGTTGAAGCGAAACTCTACCGGGCTGCGGCTCTCCAGGACCGACGTTCACCACCCCTGCCATAGATGCTCAGTGACCACCTCTTCCAGAGGGGGGAGCTTGCTATAACCTCGTTCTTCAACACCGTCAACAGTGGTGAGAGCAGTAGAAGTAGATGGCAGGAACAGGGCGAGCCGTTGGTGGGAGGAATGTTGACGGCATCCCTTCAGGTACCACTCATCAAGGAGGCCAGAGCGGGTGCCGGTGTTTGAGCCCCGCTGCTTCACTGTTTCTTCCTCCTAAGGGAGAGAGGAAACGGGAGCGCAGAGCAGGGAGGATCGCTTTCATTAAAGAAGGGGATCCGCGAGCGGAGAAGGGCGAGACTCATGCTCTCTCAGACAGGTGACGCACTCACCGTGCCCATCTACATTATGTAGGGGTTCCCTGCACGAGCCACACTCATGGCGCAACATTTGAAACATCGCTGGAAATTTGCTCTTAAATGCGGGGAAGGTACACGAATGTGAACAAATCAGGCTTCAGTATCAGAGTAAACAGGAGTTTCCCCATAAGCGTCTGTGATGCAACAGGAGAGACTGTTCGAAAGGGAACTTCAATTTAATACACTTTTGTAGACCACTGTTAGGGGGAGTCTGCCACCTTTTGGAGAGGATGAGGATCATTCATCTCAGAAAATCTGTCATAACATATACTTAAAGGGATGGTTCACCAAAAAATTAAGAACTCACATTTTTAGGTGAAGTTTCAAATAATTAAATAACACAAACGAGAACAAAAAATACAACAATCTAAAAGTAGATTTTATTGTTTCATATAATCAGAGCTCTACACTCAGAAGCACTTATTTAAGACTTACATTTTTATGCAAGTTTTAGTTTTATACAATCAGGCATGGGGAAACAATTTCATATTTTACACAATTATTTTTTTTAAACATGGAATCTGAAAGATTCACATTCAAAACTCAATAATTTATTGTCATCGTGTATGTACAAGATTAATTTTTTATGGTTAAATTTGGACTCTCAAAAGGTGAGCTAAAGTGACAGGTACCAAAATAAATAGAACAAAGAAAAAAAACAATAAATAGTAGTTATTAATAGTAAATAGTAACATGAAGGTGCAGTTACAGAAGTGAGTCCTAATCACCCAAAAACTAATTTTCTAAGCCGTTAGGGAGTAACTAGATGTCAGAAATCATTCACGCTGGTAACCCAAATAATTTTTCACATTCATACAATCATTTTCACCCGTAAATGCTCACACTGTAGAGCTCTGGTTATATTGCTTTAGTCTATTTGCCTTTCTTGGCTCTGATCTTCCGGAGGTAGAACTCCAGCTCTTTCCCTTCCAAGATGTATCCGTCAGCTCTGCCACACTGGCCGGGCCTGGACGCAATACAGGCTGAGACAGTAGAACAGTAAAAAACAAACTTAGACAGAAGCACTGTGACTCTTTGACTAATTAAACAAAGGTTTGTCTTTGATACCAGTCTAACTGGTTTTGTACAATGCAGAAAAAAAACAGAAATGAGTGTAAGAGACTACAGTTTGGTCTTGTTTTTGTTGTAATGGGTCATGCCTCAAATGATAATAAAAATGAGATCATCCTGTGATATTACTAAATCAGTTAGCAAGGATTAGGACACATACTGTAATGTTTATTTGCTTTGGACCATGGATTGAATGGACAAATGGGAATGTGTCACCTCTAGCTAATGCTGTTGAAAAAACCTCTTGCTCTCATTGATCAGTTTAGGAAAATGGAGATGATTGTGAATGGCTCAAAGTGTGGAAAACTCACAGAGAAGCTTGCCCTGCAGGAACTGCTCCTCCAGCAAACTGCTAATCTTGCTCTTCTTCCTGCGTTCATCAATCTTTTTCTGAACCTTCTTTGACCGTTTCTTGTTCAAGATCTCCTCCTCTTCTGGAGTCTGAGGGATGAAGTAGCATATGTAAATTTACAAAGGCAACTCATCGAAATACTGAGTCATCTCCAATTAGATCTTATGCACTTAGAAGCTTAAAGAAGGTTTAGATTCTGGTGTTGTACATACTGTTGTATAGATTGTTGGAACTAGGTCCTGGTCTTTAATTGTATATCTGAACTGAATATTAGAGTTTAATTAGAAAACAACATTGGTTTATTCTTGCTTAAGATGTCACATTAACCCATATTGCATCTAATGTTGACAATTTGAAGTCGAAATCTGCATTTGCATTGCCATAAATTAAATCGCTGCAGGTCTGTTAAGATACTATTAGGCGCCTGCATTATTTAGATTGCATAAAGTTCAACTCTGCTCAACTGTGTTGCATTGCCAATGTCTCTGTCGCTTATGTCAATATAAATCAACAAATGCCATTACATACTCCTCAGAAAGCTTGCATTGTAGCAGCCATGTAAAGATGACACATTGGAGCTTGTGGTTTTGAAAAGCTTGTCATTTTGTGTGCAATGTGCATGCAAGGGTCCATGAACGCTCTGAGGCTGAGACGGCTCAATTTCTAATGATAGCCATGCTCATCTATTTATAGTGTGAGCTGGGAAATAAAAGCCTACCAGCTTTGCCCCTTTCTTGCGGCCCAGTGGAATGGCGTAGTGGGCTTCATACCACTGCCTGAACGGTGTGCTGTCCACCAGAACAATGCAGTTCTTCACCAAGGTCTTGGTTCTCACAAGCTCATTGTTGGAGGCATTGTACACAACGTCAATGATCCTGGTTTTGCGAGTGCAACCTGTGAGTTAGAGTGAAAAATTACATGTGCTTTTAATTATTGCCAAAAATCGAGAGAAAAAACCCAGAGAACTTCCAGAGTAGGATTTCACCAATGTCATGTTTAGATTTGCTCACAGTGAATAAATAATTCACATGGCATGATGTATGCCATGTGTAAAAACTGAAAAATGTCCACGCAACCCATGAGACAGACATTTAAAAACAGGTCAATTCAACAGTTTTCCCTGCACAAGCAAATTGTTTTGTTTAACAGTGATGTGTTACATCAGAGACTTCACACAAAATTTCCAGCCACCACTTCCATGATCTCAGTCTAAAGGCATTTCATGGTTTTCTCGTTTACTCGGATGTACGTCATTGATTACGTTGCACGAGTGCCCACTTCTGGCGGAACCCTTGGAACGGTCTGAACAGGAACAACCTAAGCACTTGATCACTTAGAATCAGCTATGGAGTTGGTTTATTGTTTAAATTTTTTCCCTTATGAATTTGTTTGGGGCTAGCATTCTATATGTATATAGGTAGGCTGTTATAAATGTAAAAAAAAAAAAATTTATATATTATAGAGGTGTTTGGGGTGGGGATAAATTAAACGCGATCTGCAGCATTGTGGTCTATGGAGCGGCCTGAAGTGTGCATATGAAGCAGACTCGCTCCCTCGGTCAAAATCGAGGGGTCGAGGGTCTGTCCATATAAACTTCCCTCGTCCACTTCATGAAGTGGAACGCACTTCAAAATGGCAGCGGGGATTCCCCCGAGGGGAAGTGCGTAGGGAAGTTCGCTAGTGCGTGTCTAAAAGTGGAGTGGAACGCAGCCAGGGAGCTGAGAATTAAATGAACATGACCACGTAATATAATTTATATGTCTGGCTAAATACTGTTAAATTAAAAGTATGCTGCAAACTAAAAAAAAAATGAAGAAGTAGAGAGAAAGATTTTTTGTGTGTAAATGTGTTATGAAATCAGGTCAGATTTTTAAAAGTATTTTATTCTGGATCCCAATTTTTTTAATGCCCTTTTTTTAATCAGGCTTATTATACATTTATTATTTATTTAAAAACACAACTATCCCTCTAAAAAATAAAACATTACATCTGTAGGTAATATGTGTTATAATATGTGACACTCTTAACATAGCAAATTTACATGATGACTACACATTGACCATATCAAAATCGTAAACCTTAATATACAGACAATAGGTGCGTTCGACTTCATGCAGCACTGCGCAGACCGAGCGGCGGCTGACTTGAAGCAGTGCATGCCGGTTAGAAATTTAGTCCGACTTGAACCGGCGCCGACGCCATGTCACTGTCACGTGTGGCATCAAAATACCGCGATAGCGTTTCGAGAACAGCCGGCTGGCTCAGCTGACGCAGGTTTTTAAAAAATTTTTTTTATTAATGCTCAAAAATCAGAGCGACTGCAGGAGCGCTGATGACGACACAGCCATTTCACGATTGGCCAGATTCACCGCATGACAACTATCACGTCTGTTTCTAACATCTTCAAATCAAATAATCTTCAAGTGAGTGGCGGGGCAAACCGAAAGTTGATGCCGAAAGTCCAGCACTCTCCTTCCTACCTTCACTGCTGCGTCTACTCTTGTTTGTATGTGTTCCTATTTAATCAGTATGATTTGGAATTAATATGAACAATTTTAAGTTTGTTTGTATCCATGTGCTTGGGTGAACAGATGGCCAGTCTATCGCAGGAATGTAAAGATACCCATGATTAACCAAAATTAAAATATAGAAGACCAAACTCTTGGTCTCCCCAACATTTTTACATTTCAATTTAAATGCATTTAGATGTACTGTAATTAAGTAAAGTAAAACGTTTATTCAGAACTAATCAGATGATGGCTGGGTATGTCCAATGTTATGAATTTGCACAACAGCGATCATTTCTTCCGCAGTGTCCAATTCAACGAGTCTTCCGCTCGCCCACTGCAGACCTCTAACCATTGTCTATAATATATTATAAAAAAAAAACAGAAAGAGTAAAGTCGTGTCTGAAAGCTCTATACATTCAACAATATTATTGATCTGACTGTACTGACGCTGCTGTATGAAACTGAACTAAGCTGACATCACAACCAACCTACTTTTATAGATGAAATATGAACTAGCCTAATTATTATAATGAATAATAACTGATTCAGCACTGAACTGACAGCTGAACAATGACAATATATTATTTTTTTTTTTTGCTGATATCACTGTAAAGCTGCTTTGAAACAACCTGTATTGCGCTATATAAATGAGGGTGACTTGACTTAAATC